AGCGTATAAAAAAGTAAAAAAAATTTTTTTATTAAATTGGGTAGATCATCACTGAATATCGGTTTGTCCACCATGCTAGTATAAGCGAACTTAAAGAAATTTCCGATAATCACATGACTGTAGCATTTTGGTGGCGATACTGGGGAAGATATTTTTTGTGGTCTGGCTACTAAGGTCCTGTAATGAGATCGTTAAACCTTTAAACATTTTCTGCGGTATCTCTGTTCCTAGTGTAATAAATGACCTTACCTGAGTATTATTGATCATCTAAATAAATTAGAGTCGTGAGGCTAATATGATAGCGTAAAGCCTCTGATATCATAAAGTAGAATCCAAACGTGTAATTTTTCATGTTAATTAAGCATTTACTTTAATATAAGGAAAACCTCGTTTTCATTATAAAGTAACATAGCTCCACGGTTTTTTAGTGCCATGAAAGTGATTCATCCTGCCTTCCTATATGCAATTCATGATCGCATAATCTTATTTAGTGCTTCAACTTGTCTGAAAAATCATCGGTCAACCATCAGGTAACCCTGTGAAGATTTTTTGGACGAGTCAGCGTTTACGAATTCATTAAGATTTTTATACGATAATATCAGCTACCTGTAGATGACTACGGGTTGATTTACGGTTTAACCCATGGGTTGATTCACAGATTTAACCCACGTGTTGACCCGTTAATCTTTACCCTGGTTGGTAGAATTGCAACCCGAATATCCGACCCACCCGCGTAGGGATGGGTTCGGTCAGCCAGGTCTGTTATCGGTCAACTATAATCGACTACTGTGTATAGCTTGCTAATTACTTCTAACCCGCTAAAATTAATTTATTTATTACTATTTATATAACCTATTATATATTAACTTGCTAAAGCTAAATTTCTAATTATTATGTGAGGTGTCATCAATCAAAACGTACCAAAATGAACGGAATTCCCATATTTTCTTCCTGTGTAAATAAAAAGTCATCTGATTCATGGTAAAATGTTTATGATGCACTAAAATACAAATATGCACAATACTAAGTTAACCAATGAGTTAATCAAAACGTAACTATTGATGTAACTTTTGTATCACTTTGACTAATCATTAAACTGTTAAATGTCCTCCGTTACGCTCCCGGACAGCCACTTTATTTAGTGCACAAATTATTTTGATCCTTTTAAAAAAAATGGACTCAGAACAACTTCGCATTCTTGGTCATGATTATCAACATGGTATTGGTGTTGAGAAAGACGAAAAAAAGGCTTTTGAATATTATATAAAAGCCGCTGAGTTAGGTAATCCGGTTGCGATGAATGACACTGGTAATTGCTATGCCCATGGACTTGGAGTAAAAAGAAATTTCCGGAAATCATTTGAATATTTTAAGAGGTCGGCTGATTTGAATCATCCTACAGCAATGTGTAATCTTGGTTCTCGTTATGAATGTGGACTAGGAGTTGATCAAAATTACAATAAAGCATTTGAATACTATAAAAAATCCGCTACTATGGGTATTAAAATAGCAATGTATCATGTTGCACGCCTTTATCGAAGCGGTATAGGTACAAAGAGAGATATTCAAGCGGCAAATTATTGGTTCACAAAATATAGAATTCTTTTGAACACTAATAAATCGCCAGATCATATCAATCCTGATCTTAAGAAAATATTAGACGATGAGAGATTTAAATTGTCTTGGATTGATTATAATGAGTTCAGAAATATCAGAGAAGAGGGAAAAGGAGGATTCGCAACTGTGTATAGTGCAACTTTTTTTGATAGAAATAATTATGTGTGGTTGGATGTTGCACTTAAAGTGATTCGGGATTCAAACGAAAATGAACAAGAATTTATTTGTGAATTGAAGAATTACTGTGAAATTGGTCATGAGAATCCTTCGTTCTTGAACTGTCATGGAGTGTCAAGAAATGATCATGGTGATTATATTATTGTTATGCAGGTTGCAGCAAAAGGATCATTGCGGCAAAATCTTGTAAAAGTATCAAAATTAGAATGGAGAGATAAATTGAATGTTTTGTACGGTATAGCTTTGGATCTTGAGTCGATTCATTCACAGGAACTCGTTCACATAGATTTACACAGCGGAAATATTTTGCAAGCGTTTGCATTGCATGACGCATATATCACAGATCTTGGACTTTCTAGAAAAGTAAAAGAAGGAAAAATTTGTGGAATTCTACCATATATTGCACCTGAGGTTTTGATTGGTCAACCGTATACTAAAGCATCAGATATTTACAGTTTTGGAATTATTGCGACAGAAATTTCGACCGGACAAAGAACATTTGATGGAATTCCATTTAACGATGAACTTGTATCAAGAATTATCGGTGGATCAAGACCTAAATGCTTAGGACCAGATTGTTATATTAAATTAGCTATGAGATGTATGGATAAAGACCTTGATAAACGACCTACTGCAACAGAAATTATTGAAATAATCACACATTGGTTAGATAAAATGAATCAAGACAATGATAATGAAATTAAAAACCAATTTTTGGAAGCTAATAAGATTAAACCAAAGCCGATTAAGCAAATACATCCTCAATATATGTATACTAGTAAACTGCATGATACGAATAGATTTTCAGGATATATTAATATGTAAAACTTGAGAGCAAATTTTCAAATTTATATTTAAATTAAATTATATAAATAATATGCTTACAGTATGTAACATATCTTAGGAGGTGCAACTATAATAATTTTTTCTTAGTTATGTATCAAAATTTCAACGATATCTAATCTCATTATATTGTCTCTATCTCAAACATTCTTTGAAATAGTTATTTACATTTAAATTTTATAAAAATATTAATTTTTGATTCGAAAAATGATTTTAATATTTAAACATCTCAACAAAGTAAAGTTTCATAAATATAACGGTTTAACTTTGTATTTAAATTTAATTATAGACAAAGAGTATATTAAATCCCCAATTCTTTAGAAAATTGACAAAAATACCAGAGTATTTCAAGAAATGGTAAAGTAAAAGTTTTGTGTTGACAAAAGTCGAAACATAGTTTTAATACAGAATGCAGAGAATGCTGATAATAATGATAATATCAGCGAATGATATAATTTCAATACTGACAAGATATAAGCAATTATTTTAAAAGTATATATATTTATCATTGGTTTTTTACTATAATGAAAGGTGTTATGTGATAACAATTATTAAATTTGCAAGAAACTATAATTTGTTAATGCAAGCGACGAATACGCATTTGTATCCATATAAGATAGCTGTGCGACATTATCGTGCAAAACCAGGAATAGATGTATATAATAATGGAGAATAAATTATATGTAAACAACAAAAAATATCATTATTGATCTTTTATATGCCTTTAAGAAGAATCAGATTTACTCTCATCGACATGAAACACATATTTTTAACGTTAAAATAAATTGATAATTTGAAATAAATTAAGAACGTAAGTTTCTGCTTATTTTTTACATGAAAAAATGATTAGTAAAAATGTACAGTAACTTGTGATGGACAATAATTTATTATCCCTTAAACCGTCAATTTAACTTTAGATCTACTACGATATAGACTACAATCCAATATAATTTGATAGCCTAATAACAGATCAATCACGAAATTTCCAGGCAAATTTGCCTGGAAAACGGTTTAAGGGATATGAAATTAATTTTAGATACTTAAACTGCGATAATAGATTTAAAAATTGTTGGGCCAATATTCCTACAAAAATCATGTACATGATTCTCAAATTCGTGCGCATGCCATCAATAATTCTAATAATAATAATAAAGAAGTTTGAATACAGTATTTGTTTAAAGGTAGCATTTATATAATAAAACGGGCAATAAACTAATAACTTGAATAGATGTGCAAATGCAGGTTTTTTTGCCTATGCACTACAATGCAACATTATGTCACATAATGCATTATGCAACCCTGTATCTTTATATATACATATAAATACTATTTGTTATCGCTTCCAATTCCATTGTTATTTTAAATACATTGATAAAATTTTTAATAAAAAAAAAATAAAAAATTTAAGAAAAAAAAAAAAAATCTCAAATAAAAAATTAATCATTTTGAAGAGAAATCTTCAAATTGATATCCAGATGCTTCTTAGTGTCTGGAATCTAAATTATGATATTATTCATTATTGGCTACAATGTTTTTTATTCTTTATTTAAAGTTGGTGCCAGCACTTGTTCATCTTCATGACATTCAATTATATGCTTGTGATGCCTGACTTTTTGATAGTTATTTTTTGCTTGTGATGCTTGGTCTTGGTGGTGATGCTAAGCTTGCAACACTTGGTCTTGGTGGTGATGCTGAGCTTGCAATGCTTGGTCTTGGTGGTGATGCTGAGCTTGCAATGCTTGGTCTTGGTGATTATACTGAATATGCGATGATTAATTCTGATGATGAAGCTGTGCCTTTTTATGATTAAATACTGGACTTTTGAATAGCATTAAAAGTTTTGAATTCAAATTTGAATTTACTTTTTTTTTCTTTTTAAAATGTTTGTCTAAAAAGTGAATAAATAAATAATAAAATCCAATAAAATATTACAATAAAAAAAAAAAAGAGGGTGTGATGACTTAGTGAAGTGGTGGAGTTGTCACACACCCAGATGGCAGGTCTAGAGTTCAAATCCCATGGATGATGTTTTTGAAAAATAGCACTGTGATACAGTTAACAGCTATTCAATGATTAGTAGAATCTAGAAATCTGTAATCTTGGTCACACCATCTAGAATGGGAGCCTTGGTGTAATAAATTCGAGATACTGGGAGAACTAAAAACCTGTCTAGCAAGTCCCGAGTTGAGAGGTAGTGCAATCTTTGACAGTACTACAGGAGGACTGAATTTGGAACTGGGACTGAGATCAGAGAACCAAGCGACTAGGTCCTTAAGTAGGGGACATATCAGCTGAACTGCTAGGCCACCAAAACTGGAGGAAAAGGACATGTGCTCTGGAAGCATGTACTAAGGGAAGGAAGACCATATAGACACTTAAAGTCTAGATAAACTGACCTTTCCGAATTGCTAGCTGGAAGTAAGTGAGATACCGATAAAGAATCTGGAAAAGAAGGAAAGTTTGAATGTGGGTGCTGGGGTTGTGCAAACCCAAATATAAGGGTAGAAGTACGTAACAACTACTAAAATAGGAAGGTTGTAGTTTAAGATACAGATCGAGTTACAGCAGTATCCTAAAAGATAGCTTGAGACATGAACTCAGTAGCAGCAACACAACAGGTACTAGATTAGGAAGAAGTTATCGAACATGCAGGTGAATACATGTATAAGACATGTACCACACTGTTAGGTTTACCTTGAGGATAAAGTAGTCCTAGGTAGGGTGTGAAATCTATAGGTATCGCAAAATCTAGCATATGAATAGTGAGTTACATCTTGGTTAGGTAAGAAATGATGGGCCAGTTGTGACCAGAGAGGTTAAATAGATAATCTCCTAGTCGGGTTGCAGGTATGGCAGCTAGTGTAGAACCTTGAGTAGACTACTTAAATAGGCAACCAAAAGTTGCAAGTATGGCTAGTCGTACTCTCAATTGTAAAAGCCAGAGAGCTTAAAAGATAATTTTCTAGTTAGATTGCAGGTATGGTAGCTAGTGTTGAACTTGGGTAAACTACTTAAATAGACAACCAAAAGTTGTACGTGTGGCTAGCTATACCCTCATCATAATTGTAAACATTGTTAATTATCTAATAAAAAGCCTCGGCCATTGAGGTCACCTTAATACTGAAAAAAAAAAATAAAAAAAAATCTTATTAGAAATTATTGACTTGACTGCTGAGTTTACAGATTTTTGACTTGATGGTTCAAGAATCATTTCCTGTCTTGGCAGTTCAGAAGAATTTTCTTGACTTGGATTTGATATACACGAAATTTCTATTACTGTAGTATCTTTTTTTTTTTTTTTTAATATTTAAGGTGAGACCATGCTCTTATCTTTATTAGTCTTAATCAAAACTTTTTACATTAATAGAAAAGGTTTTATAACTTAAGCCTAGTACTAAGAATAAGAACTCAGACATATTACTAAGAAAGTCTAAAGACTAT